ATAAGGGATATATTATTCGAAATCTCGTAAAAACTTTTACAACTAAAATGTTAGTCTAGCTATATCGAAAATTTAGTATGGATCTGAATTATTAAATTAATATTATATTTCGCTCTCCTATTCTTCTTATTCTTGGCCTTAAAGGGTTTTCTTTAGCGGAATCAATGACTATAGTGAATTCATAAGCTTAGACCAGGATAAGTCGCATTATTAATATCATGCATCGATTGCTGCATTTATCTTTAGACTTGCCTAATAACCAAAGAATATACCACAAAAGGATTTAACATGAGCCTAGGTTACTAGTTTAACGACGATCACAGTCATCTATTGATATAAAACAGTTTATGCAAATTTTCAAAGTTACAGGCTCAGTTCGATCGCGTTCAGGCTTTCTCATGTTGTTTCCCGTGTATGCAACACAGCGCAGTTGCCATTCGCCGATATCGTCATTCCATTGAACATGTCCCTCGATCATGTCCTAAAATAGTGTATGTAAATATTTAAATGCTAGCTACATTACTAAAAGCAAACAATAAACAAATTTTAAATATGGAATAAGGTAAGCATGGTGACAGTTTTAAAAGAAACCCTCTTCTCTGATCTAAAGCTCTTTCGCTTAGATTAATAGACGCCTAAAAGTAGTAGAAAGAAAGAAATGGCATTCTATTGAAAATTATTTTTGCAAAAAAGAGCATTACAGATTGATTTCACAGTCATATAAATCTTATGGGTATATTTCGCGATATTTTACCCACAAATCAAAAATTGTGTCTGCCTTAGATATCCTCTCTAGAATAAATAAAAATCTTGATTTTCGCCCCACTTTAGCAAAACATTATGTTAATAACAGATAATACACTCATAACTTAAAGTAACTATGATTTTGTTTGTTAATGCTCTGCTAAGTGGTAAGCATGCATAAGAAAATCTCTTGAGGTTTGTACTTAAGGAAAATATACGAGTGAGGCAAGAGAAAGTTAGGTAGATAAGTGTTGTTAGCTTGACATGTGCGGGAAAATAGATCTCTTTATATTTTCCTGCTGCATCCAATTTGTGATTTCCGTCACATTTTTTGAACATATACATCACAAAATCAATATCTTTAGTGAACCACAAGAAAGAAACCCCAAAGTGCGATTAAAAGACTAATTGGTTCCTAAGTAGTCTGAGTTTGAGAACTTTTGATGAGGAGCAGATTAGATTTTTTAACGAGGTAAGGTAAAATAAAATGATAAAATGAAGAACAATATAAAGTAAGTGCGAAAGTTATTTGGTGACAACCAATAAAGAGGAAAATTTGTCAAACGGTAACAATTTAGATAAGTTCCACTCTTTTCAATCAGCTTCCTGTCGGTATCACCTGGTAAACTTTTGGTATGTATCGGTCTATTATCAACATATAGAGCGCCAACTCTCTGCTAAGTTGACGTATATTTTCAAGAAGCCCTTCCATTTCGCGAACATGTTCTCCTCTTAGATCCTCCAATTCTGCCTTGGCCTGCAAATACATTTGGCCAAGTTTTCGAAGTTTCTTGCGTTTTCCAGCAGCCTCCTCCTGCAAGGATGTAATATTAAAAGGTAAACACATTCCAAGGAGTTGAAAGAGTTGCGGAAAAACAGTGATTTGCAAGGAAATTTAAGATAGCTTAAATTTAGAAATACTAAGAGCATTATTTGATCCTATATATAACAGGCAAATTATATTTAAAATAATGCGAATGGCATTTTTGTGTTTTTACTAACTTAGACCCCTAATTAAGTATATTCCACTAAACCGGTTTCGGACTTGTACCCCACTTCCTGAATATTAATCGGGTCTCCGTGTGGCATTGTACCACCATTAAACTCAGAACATAACCTAAATACAGTACCTTGCAAAGCCATTGCAGCTTGTAAAGACTCTTTTACCTTGGTTATTTAATCTCTCATCGCCTATGAAACTTTTGAGTACGGTGATACTGCTCTTTCCTTCTTTCTATATCAGATTACATATGCTCAAACCCAAGCAGATAAGGCATAAATTTATATGTGAATAGTTTTCAATATCTCTGTGTGTAGATACAAATATAGCGCCCCTAAGATCTTTAACTAAAATAGACAAATCTGGTCATGGAGGAATTCGTATATTCTTTTTCTCAATGAGAGAAAGGAATTAGTAAAAAAGGGAACTACTAGACCTTCCGCAACTTAATTTAATTTACATAAGGAATTGTTGACTTTTTAATTAAAAAATCAGTCCGCTTGTTATAAAGGAAATCATAAGACAGTTGGGTTGCTAGGACTAATAACTTGTTATAATAAACTGGGTATATTTCTAAAAGGATAACATTATGATAACAAGCACATATAAATGTGATATAATCAAAGATGATTGGGACATACACGAAAAGAGTTGATTCCGTGGGCTTTCGCCCAGACTCGACTTTAAGGAGGAGAAATATCAGGAGTTTCACATAATTTTGATTCTAATCTTTTTCCTAAATAGTTTATATTCGGTTACCCCAAAAAGAAATTAATATGGCATGCAATAGTATAATACATTTTCATTGGCTCCTGTCGTGAGAGATCAATTGCTATCTACAAAATGAAGTTATGGCTTTGTAAATTACTGTATCGTTTCATTACCTTGAATTAGCAAATATGAAGCATATCTTATCAAAAATTCTATTTGTACAACCATTACTGATTACTACTTGCGAAAATGCGCAAAGAATGTAGTGCTTTGTGGATGCCCTTTATCATACAAAAAGCCCATTTTAAAAAGAGTACGTTCAGCATAAATGTAATGACTTATCTAATGATTCAACTTGAGAAAGTGACGAAGTGGATTGATTTTAAAGTCCTTTGAAGTCAGATTACTGACGAATATTTTAAGAAATCGTTGTTCAAGTTTTAAGAATTAGTGTAAAGCATAAGAAAATAGACATGCCTGCAAACTGTTGTACTTCTCTTCGATATTAATTCTCTCCTCTTCTTTAGCCTTTAGCTCCTGCCTCAGGGTCTCTGCGCGCAGCTGTTGCTTCTCCAGTTCAAGGGCAGACTCTTCTAGCAAGCGCTCTTGGGCCTCCGCTTTTTCCAGTAAGTTCTCACCGCCTACAATTATTCGACTCTGCAGAGCCTCCATACGCCTAGTTAATGCTTCCTGAGCCTGCTTCGCAGCACGGAGTTCAGCCTTCTTTGCCTCGAGTCGGTTCTGTTGAGCAACAAATAACAAAACTTGTGGTAAAACTTAGAGTGTATCGAGGAGAAGAGGCAAAATGAATGGGTATATGAGGGGTAGAGATAAGATCGTCGGAGTATAATAGGATAAGGTGGAAAATCAAGTTTGATTTCAGAGGCTCAGATAGTAAAGGCTTTAGGGAAAATAATGAGATACTCTACTTTATACTTCAAAAAGGGTCTTAGATCTGATGGTTGAGAATTGAGAGAGGATCTAATGGAAGAACTTCAGAAATTCCTTTAAGCAAAACTAGTGAAAAATCATTGTGTATGATGGCCAGACACTTAAAAAATGGCTTTCCACGAACTAACCAGAGAAAAAGCATAGGGAATACGGTCCCTGTTGGTATGAAACAATTAAAATATGACCAGACACTTAAACAATATCTTTCGCATTTAAGTATGGTTTCGAGACTACCAGTAAATCAGTAATATGAGATTTATTCACCCTATTTCGTTTAAGGACTGGTAGAAGAATTTTCCCATAATGATATGAGTAGAGCTGACGTTTCCAATAAATTTCACATAGCCTTGCTTTCCCAAAAGTTGTTCTCATCCAGGGTGGAATGCAGTTTCTACCTCGGTCTTATCAACACCTCCAGCGAGAGTCGAAATAGGGTGAATAGATCTCATATTACTGATTTACTGGTAGTATCGAAATTCTACTTAAATATAAAAATAAGTAACGTAGTCTATTGTTATAGGAAATATACGTTTGCTTCATCGACAATCCCACCAAAGAATATGATATGACAAAAGGCCATGCATTCCTTGAAATTCACATTTGCCCTGTGACCCGAAGGCACTCGTGGCAATGTGGCCGAGTGGTTAACGTGTCAAGCTCACATGCTGCACGGTCACGGTTCGATTCCCGCTGAGGATGTTGATAAGACCGATGCGAAGTCGAAACTGCAGTCAACCCTGGATAAGAATAAATTTTAGGAAAGCAAGGCAATGTGAAATTCAATGGAAGCGTCAGCTCTACTCATATCTTTGTGGGAAAATTCTTCTACCAGCCCTTCATCACCTCAAACGAAATTGGATGAATACATCTCATATTACTTAAACAATGGTTTACCATCAACTAAATAGAGAAAAAGCATAGGGAATACGGTCTCTGTTGGCACTTAAAAATTAAAATATGACCTTGACGGCTAAATTAACGGACTAAATGTGCCTTAGTAATATAGAACTATGAACATAACTATTGAATGGATACAGATGTTGCTATATTATAAGCTTACTTCAAACCTAATTTAATAAAACACCAAACGTATAAAGGTTAGAATAAGGTGGGATAACTAAAGATATTCGTCACCTTCAAAATCGCCAATAAATTATATTCCTATCAAAGTTATTAATAAAGAGGGCAGTCGTCAAACATACGAATTTACTTCAAACATAATCTTCACACTTCTGCAGACAGGCAGAATAAGCATTAAGTAGGGTGATAAATCATAAAATCCCTCATTAATATATCAAAACCATATCTTCAATCGAAAGTATAAAGACCAAGATGATGTGTTCTTTAGTATGAACGTGGTCTGCTTTCATTGTATAGAAGTTGTGTGACCTTGCTTTCGCAACTTGATCATATTGGCAGGAAGCAATAGAGAAATTTAACTTAACCGGAGTCCCTAGAACTCGGGATAATTTC